ATGCAACGCGAGGTTCAGTGGCTGGATTGAGCAGAGTGGAGTGAAAAATTATCAAAATCAGCAGGAGCTTTTTGTCCACGTATGGCAAACTGTTCGTGACTCAGCAACTAAACTTGTCCTTGCTTCGGCTGAGTAACAGTCTATGTCGACTGTAATCGACGCCTGAGGCTGATGAGGAAACTCCATTTATAATATTACGCCCAAAATTCAACCAAGTATGTCAGCACTACGGACAACCGAGATCGCGTGTTTCTAAGACGGCTCTAGCCCAGAAAGGGAAGTCCCACCAAATCCACTGTGCAGCAGTGATCAGCCTCCTTCCAGAGGCCGTCTATTCTTGCTAAACAAACATCTTGCGGACAAAAAAAATTAAAAGAAAGCGCTCGAAATTTACTTCACTGCCTTCTTTAGATTGAAACTGCCGACCTTCTGTGAGCATGGCATTAATTCTCCGGTGAATTGTAAACAACGAGTCAAAGATAGTGGCGGTCCATATATTGATCATGGATATAGCTTTTGTTGAGATAATGTTAAATCAAAAATGTTCAAAAATGGCACGAACTCCTGGAGCACCCTAATAGCATTTCTCATTCATCGGCAGCATCGCACCAATGAACCGTTTTCAGCAAAAACAAAGCTGACAGAGAGGCGTTGATGTATGAGGCCTTCGCTGTTGTTGAGAAAGCTCTCGAAAAGGAACCGAAAGACGGTTGTTTCGGCGCTCATAAATGGTAATTTTTATAGTTTGCGGTTCTTTTTCCAGTTCTGACATGCATAAGATGGAGCGTGGCGCATTTTTTGTTTACTGTTTAAGGGTGAGGCGTTACTCATGGATAAGTGTCTATATGCCAAATCGCGGGATACCCATGGGGATCGATGTAGCTATCGTTTTCCTGGTATTTCGGAAACGCTGAACTGGAGACGCAACACCGCGCTGTGACTAACTGTTCATACTTCGAGCGCTGCTTACAGCGCGGCTTGGGAGTCAAGTCCAGGATTCATGCCAATGAAGCCTTTAATTCCAACACAGTTCCTTTATTGATGTCGGGTTCATTAAGGTGAAACACTGACTCTAGTCGGCTGTCATCTAGAAGTCATTATAAAGGCAAAATCGCCTTGCCCCTACGACTCTGATTCGAAGAAGAATCTGGACGCATCCCAAGAGTGACCGATCAGTACTGACCCTTTGATGCTTTTCGAATCGTACTTGTTAAGGTACGCGATTCTTCTCGACTATATTGGAGAGATTGAGGGGAATAAGTCGCGCCTACAGAAGTCTTACAAGGTAATAATAGCTGTATAACAAATTAGCCCATTCCATTCGTGCCGTGTAGGTGAAGGAGCATCTCGAGCGTGCACTCCAAATATGCTCCAGTGATGCAACAACATGGCAGCATCTTTGCTGCAGTAATAGTTCAGTTCTAGTAATGCATTAAATCCACTCACTACGCTTTTTCTCCATTACTTCTTCTATTTACTATTCATTCGCCTTAGGCATGTGCAACTTCTCATATTCCGCTAGATAGTACTATGCGACCCGGCTTGTAGCGAAAGCCGTCTTCGCGACGCCACCTTCATCAACATATGACCAAGCGTTACATTACTTTCTTAAAGCGGAGGAAATTTCAGTGAGTTTGCTGACACATGGTTTGATTTTTGTTACACTGGTAATGTTAAGCTTAGAGAAATACGCCGACAAGGGTTTCATTTGTTGTGTGCTTCTAATAGGGTGGGGTTCAGAAGTCCGCGATTCGTTCCGCGCACTTCGGCGCGAAATCGGGCCGTAAGAAATCACAACAAAAGGGGTCCAAATGCCTCATTGGAACATCGAAACACTGAATATGAGACAGGTGGAATCATGATCAGTTGTCTTTCAACCACCGCTCAAAGCAACAGTCCCAGTAGGGTGGGCGTGGTAAGAAACGGCTGCAATCCCCTCGGCCGATTCCCACTTCGGAGCTGTTCAGGCCCCTAGCCAAGACGTAAGAATGTGTGAACTGAAATCAAAAACCACCTTTATAAAGCCCGCTAGGGTCAGCCAAGCAAGTAGGGCTTGCGGAATCGCCTTCGGATTTGCAAGATTGTTTCCGACCTAATGCCACACCTTGCTTGGACTGTTGCTTCTACGCATAATGACGGAGTATTGTACACGCAATTCGCCAATCGATTGGGCACTCACATTTCCTGTGTCCTCGCCTCCGATTCGCGATCAAGCAGTGGCTTTAAAGGAGAGCGGTCATTGAAGTGGAAAAAATTAACCTTCGAAACTTATGATTTGCCTGGCTGACAAAAGTTGATAAAGAGGAAGTAAGGGAACAGCGAGTATTCATGGTGGGTGAAGCGTGCACCGAGTTGGGAGAAGCTGTTCAAGTTAAATTTTCGGAAAAAAGATCGCATCATCTGGGGCTTGTCTTCCTATCGTAAGCGAAATCAATTTATATTCTTTTTTAGCCAGGATTCTACAGCACCAACATGTACTACATTGGAGAGGTGTACGAGAAGATGGGCAACAGAGATGAAGCTATGAAGTATTACAAAGACGCGTTTAAGATGCCAGTCGTACATCCGACGAATCAAATCGAGCATACACCAAAAGCACGGAAAAAGTTCTCTTTTGTTTACAGTTATTACTTTATTTGGCATCTATTCTATTATTTGTTCCACAAGAATTAGGTTATAAACAAAAGTTCTGCCCCAGGCGGGACTCGCACTCGTACCCTTTTACCTTTTCATAATCCCACCTTTGCCAAAGGTTTTGTTCATAACCCAGCACTCTTGCGAAACTTTCGCAAGGCGAACTGCGACCAAAAACAGCAGTAACAATCAAAAACAAATCAGTTTATTTTCTTACCACTTTGTTTTTAAATTCGCAGATTAACTCAGCAATTCAATTTTTTCAGGCTCATGAAAAATTGCGGAAAGCCGGGATTAAAGACAGCAAATATGCTATCAAAGTAGCATGGAAACTTGATATCTTCGTAGACATTCAATTGGTACTTACATACATTAAGAGGTTTAATAATCTACGTTTATACCTAGGCACCCTCTACTAACTTATTTGTTATCTACTGTTTTATGTCGAACTTGTGATGTTGTCACGTATCTAACACTGGGCATTAAAACGTTAAATTCGTCAACATTCATGTGATAAAGTTGTTTTCCTTCATAAGCTTTTTCCTTCTTAAAGAAGGGGTTACGGAGAAGACCCTCCCTCAGAATTAACATAGAGGGCGGTCGTGGTGCAAATGCAGAAAAAATTCAACCGGAAAACGACGTAATCGAAAAGGGTGCCTTTTTGACCGTTGATCTGCGCGTTAGGGATGTCTGATCAGTGCTCACATAATCAACGTTAACCCTCTGCTGAAACGGCTAGAACGAGATGACAAGCGTCAGCTCGGTGGGACTGCAGCGTCGCGGGTACGGCCTTGCTAGGCCACGGGGATATCCTTTTGCCCCTTCCTCGAACTCTGACTGTGTTTTGGAATCGTGCTCCAACATCGAGTCTAGAGGTAATGCCATCTCCGACCCGTTTGGATGACTACTCACATTAGCCAACACGCTCATTCGAGACAGCGCCATCCTCCGTCTTTGATACCCGTAACCATACGAGAAGAACAATCCACTAATTCGTGTTGAAAGGGCTGTCTTTTCCGAACGGTCTACAATGTCAGGTGGCCCTTTTGTGCTTATTGTGGGAATCGCTAAGGCTACGCTTTAGCCAATTAAAATAGCAGCGTCAGCTTCATACACTCAATAGCAGCTTTTCGTTCTTCGTAAAGGCTCTTAAGCTTATGACAGCTAGGTTGAACCATCTGTCTCTATTGATGTTTGGAGGTCTGTAAGGTCGGATTTGTTTCACCATGGAAAGATCGATCCAAACTATCTTTTTTCAAAATTGAGAATCCAGTGACTTTTTCTTCGTTATGCGTTGTGAATGGTTGATTCCCACTTCTTTGTAGGAAAACTTTGAGGTGTATCGACTTAAATTCTTGTTTGCTAGAACAAAATAGAATCATCTTTATCGAAGACGTCGCCACTGGTAGATGTTGAGCGCAGAGTTTAGGGCACCTGTGGTTGATATCAGGGTGAATATCGGTTGAGGATTCCTCAACGGCTTGTCGAGGATTTTTGCCCAGTTACGCTCTCCCGCGCGGACATTCACACTCGCCATGCGCGAGCCGTCTGTGCTCTCCGCGCGTACGTTCACTCTCGGCACTACTCTCGCACAGTACAGAGCCATGGTCGAGGAATTCCTCGACCGTTATTCACCCTGGTTGAGAGTTTTCGGACCATATGACACCAACCAATGTCAAATATCTTTAGGGCAATCCCTATCGGGTTGGGTGTATTTGACGGAGAAGGCATTATGTTCCCGGAAAGGATGTGAAGGTAGTTCTCAGGCAGTGGCTGATTTTCTACTCCTACTCGATTCAGTAAAGTTCCAGAAATTTCGCCATTATTGCCGTTTTTCAGCATTGCGCAATATCCCATAACTTCTCGAAGGTGGACGGTTATTTGGAGTCAGGCTGGAGATAGGGCTGCCATACTAGCACCAGTACTACTGAAGAAGGAATTGATGGAGTAGTGTGTGACAGTCATTGAAAAGAGGGGAAGGGAAGTGGATGGGGTTGGGTCTCGTCAACTTCGAAAATTTTTCTAATGAGGGCTGCGCTTGACCCTCGACCTGAAGAACTGTTGAAATTAGGAAGAAATTGAAGTTTTCTGAGTATTCTGCAAGTCTTTGAGAAGTTCCATCTACATCCCTTCAGAAAAGGCGTTAGCGATCTTACCCAACGACCTCTCATCTAGCGTAATGCCCATAATGGGAAGAGCAAAGCAAAATTAGACCACCTGCGCTAAGAAGGCGATTTATGACGTATCCTGGGTGAAACTAGAGCAACTAAATGCCTTCACCATTAGAACGGTTCGCAGACCATAGCGTCCACTTTGCCAGGCGGACCTACTGTCGGGGACTCACCCATGCATTTGTAGGATAGTTGTAACATGGCTCTAAAAGTGATGCAAGAGTGGGGTCTATTTGATGGGAAAGTGGGTTTTATTTTAGAAAAGCGGGCGAAGGGCCCCAAGGCAGGACAGAAGTGGTGTAAAGTGATGCTGCTCAGTTAGTGCACGGTCGGGGGATCAGAATCTGTTCTGCACGCCGTCTTGGCCAGTAAATGCATTCGTTCCTCTGAGCTCAGTTGATTGAAACCAGAATTCCATCGGGAGATGAAAAAACTCTAATTTTAGCGCACCCAACTCCCCCTCCCATGCAATGTTCATTGTATAAGGCAAGTCGCATTCGAAACGCTACGATTAAGTAGAATTAGAATGCGTGGCACATCCCAAAAGCGGATGATTCATCCTTTTTTAAATGTTCATT